TGTTCCCATGTTCTGTTCAAACAACTGCCTCTTGGTCTATGAATAGATTCCTCATGAGCACAATTAAGTGTTCTGGAATACTCATACTTCACAATGTTGCCCATAGCTTGTCATGATCCACACAAGCGAATCATATACATGATCCACACACACCAGGATTAGACATGAATTTTTTTTCTGATCTCTCAATAGATATTTTAATCTGTTTTACTAAAAAGTATACATGCTCCAGAGTCCTAGTGTGGTACTGTGGGATAAAGCACTGGACTGCAACGTCAGTTTGAACCACTAGGTTGACGGTTCAAACTCACCAGTGCTCCTTGGAAACCCTGTGCACAGTTGCTATGAGTGGGAACCTACTTAATGGCACTTAACAACAATAACATACATGTTCTACTTACCTCATTTAACAAATCCCCTTAGGGTCTTTGCCTATGCTTCTGTTCCAGAACTTTGTGTGCCCTAAGGACATATATGCTTATACTGGCATAAGAAAGAGAACATGTGTAGAAAGCATGTGGTATACCAAATATAATTCACAAGGGTTTGGAAGCAAAACACTACTATTATTATAAGAACTCCATTTTCATTCAGTTTTTACACTTCTGGACCATATACATATATTATTGTTGTTGTTATGTGCCGCTGAATTGTTTTCAATGCATAGCTACCCTCTGCAGGTTTTTCGAGGCTGTATGTCTTTGCTGGAGAAGAAAGCCTCATCTTTCTCTTAAGAACACCTGGTGGGTTCAAATCACTGACTATGTGGTTCACAATCCAGTGCTTATTATACAGAAACACTGTGTGCTCATATATGATATGTATACAAAATTTCCCCTAAGCAGCAGTTTGTAATTTTAAGTTACATTGGGCTTTGAAATGTGCACTATTATACACAGAAGTATGTATTCTGACAGAACTGAAAGTAGGTTGTTGTGAATCAATCTCACAATGTTATACAATTAAGCCTAGAAACAATTTTGCCCTCTCAATAACCTTCCTGAATGCATTCTTGACCTCCTTGTTCCTCAGGCTGTAGACCAGAGGGTTGAGCATGGGGATGACAATAGCATAGAATATAGATGCTATTTTGTCTATATCCATGGAATGACTGGTGCTCGGCTGTAGGTACATGAAGATGCATGTCCCATAAAAGATGAAGACTGCAATGAAGTGTGAAGCACAGGTAGATAAAGCTTTCCAGTATCCCTCAGCAGTTTGCATTTTCAATACGGTGGAAAATATGAAAAGGTAGGAAATAAAGATAACCAGAAGAGCAAAAAAGATATTAAAGCCAACCACAAACACAAGAACCATCTCGCTAACATGTCTATCAGAGCAAGAGAGAATGATGACTGCTGGAATATCACAGAAAAAATGATGGACCACATTGGACATACAGAAAGAGAGACTGAAGGTGTCCCCAGTGTGGATGGAGGCATTCAGGAAGCCACAGATATAGGAACCGATGGCCAGACAAGCACACACATTGGTCTCCATGATGGTGGTATAATGTAGAGGTTTACACACTGCTGCATAACGATCATAGGCCATTGAAGCCAGGAGGTAACTCTCTGTAGTAGCAAAGGCTACAAAAAAGAACATTTGAGCTGCACATCCATCATAGGAGATGACCTTGTCTTCCATGAGGAACCCAGCCATGACCTTCGGAGTAACTGCTGAGGAGTAACCAAAGTCTACCAGAGAGAGGTTGCTGAGGAAAAAGTACATGGGAGTATGCAATCGAGAGTCCATCAGAATCAACACAATCATCCCCAGGTTCCCAAACAAACTGATGAGGTAAATGAGGGTGACTAAGATAAAAAGAGGGATTTGAAGTTCAGGGGCATTTGTTAGTCCAAGTAGAATGAACTGAGTCACCACTGTATTGTTCTCCATCTGATATTTGGAAATGTTCTGTAGCTATGAAGGAAAAAAAGAGCAAAGTGTTTAGCAGAGAAGAGAATAAAATGGAATTGGAATACATTATATTTTACTGCATTATAGCAAAACTCTGTATTTCAAGACTCTCCATACAAGTATTATGGGCTTGGTCATAACATTTGGTACATCAATCATCCAGAGAGTTTCAAGCTGTTGAAGCTGAGGTACCTCATGTATCATATACTTTACTTTAAAATTTTCATAAATTTGTAAACTGATCTGTAGAAAATGTAATAACTAGGACAAGATGACATGTCTGGAATGACACTAATTGTCAATCAGCTTTTTCAACATAGCAAAAATTTACAATCATGTTGTATGCATATTCATTTATTCCTCCCAACAACCATATGAGATTGATTAGTTCATACCTATACTTAACTTATGAGGTACAAGAAGTTGTGTAGTTTTTGCAACTTTATTGAAGTAGTACCAGACAAAGTCAAGGACAGAATCCAGGCAAAGAACTTCCAAATCTAATCATCTTAATTGAATTTAAATAGAATTGAATTGACCTCAGATTAACAGAACTCATTGGCTCTATTGGCTCATACTCAATGTTTGTGGATACACAGTGAAGTAATTGAGAGACACGAGGGGGCTTCAAAAAGTTCATGGAAAAATGGATTTTCCACAAACTTAAAAAAAAAAAGTTTTATTATGAATTATATGATAGTTTACATGGGAGAACACTAGCTTTATATTCATCCTATCATATATTATTTCATTGCCATGGTTACAATCCCCTCCATGCATCATCAAGCCTGCCCCCTAGTTGTCAGCACACTGCCCCTCTCCCTCTCTGGGTCTAAAGTCCCCAGTCACTTCATCTCGCCACGTCGTCATCTCTGCCTCCATCTCTGGCGTCACTGCTTCTCCGCGTAAGGTCCCGCTCTCTGCTCTTCTCCCTTGATGGTTCCAGGGACCTCAGCTCCTGGACTGCAAAGTCAATCACTCCCCTCCTTTTGCTACAAAACATATACCTTTACATTTCCAACCCTCACAATCAGTCCTGATAACAATTATTCACTATTGTACCACAAGAGACCTATCCCCATCTCCTTTCATTATCCCTGCCCAGACAAATTGGATACTACTCAGTGGAGATTCTTCCTTCCTCTGAGCTCTCTGGATCTAGGCTCCCTCTTGAAAGCTTGTAAGCCAGTCACTTCTTGCCTCTGTAGCCTCCCCTCCCCCTCCAATTTTGGGTAGCCAATGTCCAACAGGACCATCCCTATCTACTATGTGTACGGAGGAGATGGGAATGATACTCTCTGAAAAGATTTGTTCCTTCTTTTGAGCTACTGCATCCATAGGTCAAGTTCATCAAATTGTATCAGATTACTCTTTTTTTCCCTCTTCTTTCTTCTTCTAGTTGAGCTCTGATCATCCAGTCATTGAAGCCAGGTCAAGTGGGTATTATCTGCAAGTGTGGGTGTTCTTATGCATATGCCCTCTCTTCTTATCAGCTGGACACTTCATTCTCCACCCTAGTCCTCTGTGGCTATGTCACTGACTCTAGGCCCAAGAGTCCCCAGGACTTGCCACATTGCTGGGCAACCAGGTCTCCACCCGGGTTCACAGGAGTCTATTGAACATTGTAGGGCTTAGCTTGCAGCTTCATTGCTGTTTTTCCCTCAACATGGTCACCAATCAGAGTGCATGTCTGCTTGTGTATTCCCATTGAGTCTTAGTCTTGGAAGGCGGTTTGCCCTGAGGGGACCCAACCACTTGCCTTGGTGTCTCCTGGGTGAGTAACTTGCTTGTTCTTGTAGTAATCAGTTGGACTGCCATTATTGTTTTGTATTTTTCCTGTCGGTCTTTCTTTCAAGAAATATTTTCTACTCTTCTGGCTGCTCCAGGCTGGTCTGCTTGTCCTTTCCAGTGGAAATTTCCCACCCCAGAAGATTCTGGATGCAGTTCAGGATTCCACCTATGGTCTTATGTAATGCAGAGGCTCCGTAGGAAGCCTCCTTCACTGGGCACGTTGTAGCCCCATTTTAGGTATTCCAATCAGTTATAGGCAGAAGACCAACTTACAAGCTTTCTATGGTGATATTTCTGGCTATTCCTTTCTCTCCCCCTCAAGTGTGTATTTTATAATGGTATGCCAGGGAAACCAAGATTCCAAAGACAGCCAAGCATCTTAACATTATTTTCTCCTTTTTGCCCATTCCAACCATGTCTCCACCCCTGTATCCCAGAGCCCTGTTGTTACAAAGTTGTGCATACATCATTCTTTACCTCTGTTCCACTTAGCCCATGCAAACCTGCCTAATTGTTTTCCCACCTGCTTTGTTCTTCCATTCCCTTCCCCCTTCTTGTATATTGCCCCCCCCTCCTTAGCACCCAAACTATCCTGTGTCTATTCCCTACCCTGTGCTTCACCTTCTCCTCCCTCCCCTTACTCACCCCCCAAATCTAGGTAACCAGCAAAGAGTCCCCCCTGCCCCCCCTTTAGTATGGGTTCTTTTTCTTAGTCTTTTACAGTAGTGGTCCTATGCACTATTTCTCCTTTGGTGACTGACTAATTTTACTCAACATTATGTCTAATTTTACTTAACATAATGTCCTCAAGGTTCATCCATGTTATGTGATAGCTTGCAACTTCCTTGGTGTTCTTCAAAGTAGCATTGTGTGTATGTGCCACAGTTTGTTTATCCATTCTTCAATTGATGGGCATTTAGGCTGTCTCCATCTTTTTGCTATTGTAAATAGTGCTGCTATGAACATTGATGTGCATATATCTACTCATGTTATGGGTAAATATCAAGTAGAGGAATTGCTGGATCATAAGGTATTTGTATTTCCAACCTTCTGAGAAAGCGCCATATTACTCTCCAGGGTGGTTGACCATTTTGCAATCCCACCAGCAATGCAGATGTGTGCCAGTCTCTCCAAATCCTCACCAGCATTTATTGTCCTCTAGTTTTTTTATCTTTGCTGTTATTGCTGGTGTGAGATGATATCTCATTTGTTGTCTTCTTTGCAGCTCTCTAATGGAGTCCTGGCATGGTGCTGTGGGTTAACGCACCAGACTGCAAAAACATTTGAACTGCTAGGTTGGTGGTTCAAGCTCACCAGCTGCTCCTCGGAGACCCTATACAGGGTTGCTATGGGTCGGAATCAACTTTACAGCAGTTAACAACAACAACAACAACAACAATGGCTAATGATCCTGAACATTTCTTCACATATTTGTTGGCTGCCCGGATATCCTCCTTGGTAAAGTGTCTGTTCATGTCGTGTGCCCATTATTTAATTGAGTTGTCTTTTCCTTGTAGAGGTGTTGTCGTTTTCTATATATTTTAGAAATGAGTCCTTTATCTGATGTGTCGTTGCAAAAGATTTTTCTCATTCTGTGGGTTCCCTTTTTACTCTTCTGGTGAAGTTTTTTGATGCACTTAAGTTTTTAATTGTTAGTATGTTCCAATCATCTATTTTGTCTACTTTTATTTGTGTAGTTTTCAAAATGTTTTGTAGTCTGTGTATGCCCTGAATTAGTGTCCTCACATTTGTCCCTATTTTTTCATTAATGGCCTTCATAATTTTGGGACTCACATTTAGGTCTTTAATCCATGCTGAGTAGGTTTTTGTATAAGGTGTGAGGTAAAGATCTTGTTTCAATCTTTTTCATATCACTTTCCAGTTCTGCCAGCACCATTTGTTGAAGAGACTATCCCCTTCCCATCCACAAATGTTTTGAAGCCTCTTTGCATATGTATAGCAGATATGGTGGCTTTACAAAAGCAATAAGGACCTGGACCAATAGAAAAGACAGTTCTAAAGGGAAGGCATAACTCTGAGAACAGAAGTCCAGTACTATGAAAAAGTGCATATGTGTTCAATATTGGCTTTATCATTTACTGCCTAGCAGCGATTGGTTCTAACCTAACCTCTTAGAAAGCCATTTCTACCATCTTTAAAATAAAGATGGTAATGAGATCCCTTTTAGATTATTATTGTGTAAATAAATCAGATAATGCATAAAAGACAACGTGGTAAACTGGGTAATCATCATCAGCAGCAGCAGCAGTCTGTTTTGGAGCCCTGGGTAGAGTAGTGGGTTACACATTGGGATGCTAACTCCAAGATTAATAGTTTGAATCCATGGGAATCCATGAGGAAAAGATGAGGCTTTCTGCTACCATTTTGATCCATGACATTTGAAACCCTATATGGGGTCACTATGAGTTGAACCCAACTCGATGGCACACAGCAGGAACCGCAGTAACATAGCATGATTAGTGTTATTGTTGCAGTTAGGTGCTGTTGAGTTGTCCCTGACTCACAGACCTTATGCAAAATAGAATGAAATTTTGCCCAATCCTGCTACATCATCACAATTGTTGCTATGTGTGAGCCAATTGTTGCAGCCGCTGTTTCAAGCAATTGATTTGTAGGTTTCCCTCCTTTTTTTCTGCCCCTTCTTTACCAAGCATGATGTTTTTATCTAACAATTGGTCCTTCCTGATAGTAAGTCCAAAGTAAGCCAAAGTCTCATATGTGTCATTTCTAAGGAACATTCTGACTGTATTTCTTCATGTGTCTGGCTGTCCATGGATACACAATATTCTTTGACAACACCATATTTTCAATGAGCAAATTCTGATTTGGTCTCTTTTTTTCATTGTTAACATTTCCAGTGCATATGAAGCAATTGAAGATATGCCTTGGCTCATGTCTATAGTTTGAGTAAGGGTCACGTTAGTGATCAAAGTGTCCAATTTGTTTTGTAGTACTCTAAGAGGTCTTTTGCAGCAAAGTTGCCTAATGCAATATGTCAATTAGTGTTAGTGAGGATTAATATAAGGTATAATATAGAATGCAATGATGGCATTTATGCTGGTTTGGGGAAAGGTGGATGGAGCCATACAAGACTCTAAAATGTGTGTGACTTTTTTAACATCTGATAGCTTCACTCATCTACTTTCTTTTCCTCACATATTGGGTCC